CCTAACGTACCGGAACCGGTTTTTAAACTTTTTTTAAAAGGGGTTAAACGGGGGGTACGGGGACGAAGAAGTCTCGTGTAGTTTTAGTTTTAGGTGGGGGGGAGGGGGGCTGGAATGTCGGGGAAGATGGAAGAAGAATAGCCTTATTTAATTAAGGCAATTCACAGTATAGTAATGCGAATTGCCTTAATTAAATAAGGCTGGGCCCAACTATTACATTAAACGTTGTGTTTTTGTTAAAAAAATAATAAAAAACTACTTTGCAGTATCATACTGCGAATTGTTTTAACGGCAAAATTTCCGATAACCCAATACGCAGTATAGTACTGCGAAATACTCATTTTTGTGACTTTTTTTTAAAACATTAAAAACGTACTTTGTGTCTAAAAAATCATTAATTAAGTTTCGGACTCCTCCTTTTTGTCTCACAAATTTGTGGACCCCGATCTTACACTTATGGGTCCACAGAAATCTGGATCCACAAAATTGTGAGACAAAAAAGTTGCCTCATACAACTAGACACAAAATAAAATTTTGTGTGATTTTGAATGTTGGACAGCTAGTGACCTACACAAGCAAGGTATGAAAAGGCAAATCACATGTTTGAAATTTGATTGGAAAAGTAGTAGCAGCCTTGGCCCTTCTCTTTACCTTTCATCCTCTTTCAAGCCCATTGATACTTAACACCAAAATAAATATATAGGGATAAGGAAATTTCATGGACGGGGTAGCAAATAAGGTGATAAAATACAAAAATCTATATAATATTCCAAAAATCTAAACAAAAAAAGAACTTTTTAATGGGTATAGTTGAAATTCATTGAAATATATAGATAAGTCAATATACAAAATTTGAGGAAGATTGGAGGTGATTTGGACTGGTTTTGTATCAAAATTCGTAATTAAATCGAGTTCAAAAAAGTCTTCTACGACACATGTATCAAACATGTATTACGCATGTATCTCACACACAAGTATACATGTGATACACAATTGATACAAATATGATACATATGTGATACACAAATGATACACAGTGTGATGCACATATTATTTTTTTCATGTTCAGCTTTTACTTCGAATTTTTAATTCAAACCACCTCAAAACTTCACCAAATCATCCCAAAATTGAGATTCAAGCTCCTTAAGTTGTGCCCAATCTATTCTAATAATACCCACTCAAAACAAAGCAAAAATTTAATATTTTTTTGAGGAAATTGGACAAGTGCTACATTGCATGACATGACAAGTCAATACAAAATTGATGTTAAAGTTTCACCAAATTCCAATGGGTTCAGTTTTCACGTCCCAAATCATTTGCAGTAAAGTATCTTATATTTCTTCTTATAAAGATATTGACTTTAATGTCACAATATTTACATAAAAATTCATGTATTCTCATATACTAGCAATATGTCCTGCGGATTATTTATTTCTGAAACAAGTTATTCCAGGATTAGTTATGTCGGAATTATTATTCCATTCTCATATAGGGATAAAAATAACACTACAATCCCGGGATAACTAATATCGGGATTAGTTATACTGCGATTTTATCCCAACTAGGGGTGTTCATGGTTCAGTCTGGATCGTTTTTTCCTAAAAAGAAACCAAACCAAGTAAGTCAATTTTTCAAATATTGGAACCAAACCAAACTAATTAAGTCTATATTCTATCAATTCGGGTCTTGTCGGTTATTTATTGATTTTTTCTTAAATATGAGACATACACTATCAAACACATATTCCAGCGACTATATTTTCAACGTAACACTATCAAACCAATTGCTCTTTGAGAAATCTAGAATTTTCCAAGATATATTGATGATAATTAAATCAAATAATGACGATAATTTAAGGAATCAATTAAAAACAAATTATTTTTAACATGAAATTCTCTTCTTGTACTTAGCAAAAGAAAACTATCAATTAAACTAGATGTAAAGGAAAACAACTAGATTATTATAATAACAAAAAAACTAGACTAAGAGTGCAAACAATTAACATGTGCCATAAAATTTTAGAAACCTTTTATAGAAATATACACGTATATAGTGTAATAATAAAATTTAAATAGGTACTTCTATAATCGATTTGGTTCGGCTTTTCCGTTATTTTTTATTAAAATCAAAACCTAACTATTTTTGCTCGATTTTTAAAAATAAAAACCAAAATCAAACCAAACCCAAAAAATATCAATTTTTTTGGTCAGTTTGGTTTGGTTTTTATGAAGAGAAACTTTCGGTAACCACTATGTTTTAGTGGTTATTAGCTAGTTGTAGCTACCATTTGCTATATTACTTCTTATAGCTATGTTTTCAGGTTTTTTAGAGTGTATTCGATGTATTTAAGCTACTGTATTCATGAATACAGTAGCATTTTTCGGCGTGAAAAGGGGATTACAGCTAGACAGATTATTGTATTCGACTGTATTCACGGCGTGAAACAGGGAATTACAGCTGGACAAATTATTATATTCGACTGTATTCACGGCGCAATTCATGGTCTATTCAGCTGTTTTTAAACGGAAAGTGAATCAATTAACATAATAGACTCCTAATATAACTCAACAAACTCAATTATAACACACAAAATTTGTATTTCCGGTTATAAAAAAGACCCTCAATCGAAAAACACCCTAAAAACATAGCAATCTTCAGAGAAATTATATAATTACATTGAATATAGTTAAATACATAAAAATATATTGAATACATGAAGTATTGCAGGTCATCTATAATGAAAACATACTACAGATACATTTGAATACATATATACATCTGAATACATAAATTATGTTAATTTAAAAAATTATATGAATACATTCATGGAATATAGCGAGACAGTGAATACAATAAAATACAGCGAGATACACTGAAATACAATTAAAAGAAATATTGAATACAATGAAATACATGAAAATATAGCAAGATACATTGAAATACACTTTAAAAAAAGGTAATAGAATCTTCAATTTGCTCAGCCCCAAACACCGTCGTCTTTGTTCAAAAACAACCCTAATATGGTATTCTCTCTACAATCCCTGTCCGGTAAGCTTGGTCCTTCATTTCTCCTCAAATACTTCGAAGCTCTTAGAATCTGTTTGTTTAATTTTTGTAATGCATCTTAGGATTCGCCTTCCTTGTTGACGTTGTTTTGAAGAAAAAAATATTCAGATCATAGTAAGCGTATTGAGTTTGGAGTATAGTAATCAGATCCATTGACTTATATTTTATCTAATTTTCCTAAATTATTACCTTTATGGTGCACTGACAGAAGGCTTGACTAAAAATGTTGGGAGGTAGAGCAATCCATCGGTTATTATGCAGGAAATTTCATCTGAATCCTCGGTATGGCTGTATCAGTGTCCTCAAAATCACCAAATTTAACGCTCTTGTGCGGCAAAAGATGTTTGAAATCTACCGGAGATGCATACAGTAGAAAAATCTGTATGCACGCCGGAGATGCATACTGGAGAATCCATGAGTTTGTATTCATGGAGAAATCTGGCATTGAAAGAGTGGAGAAAAATTTGAGAGAAAATAAATACAAAGCGTATTTTATGGCTTAAGAGTTGAAGGTGACCATACATAGATATTTGACTATAAAAATCAAAAGGTAGCTATGAAATATGATTTTTTTAAATGATATTTATTTAAGATAAATAAGATAGCAACCTTTGCTGGAGGTAAAAATTCCTTTTATGAACACCCCTAATCCCAACCAAACGTGGGATAAACTAATCTCATATTTAATTCCGAAATTAATTATCCGTTATACTCATTACCAAATGAGCCCTTAATAAGAATTCATATTTTTACAATCATCGTATCAAACAACACCTAACAGAGATTGGGATTGAAAGCTTTTTGTTGATATTAGCAAATATTATGCATTCTACCTTCTTCAGATAACAAATCAAAATAATTTCAAAGAAGAAAAGTTTAGGATGGAAAGCAGTTGTATGGGGGAATTTTTGTACACAGATAGCCTGTAATTTTTGCCCCTTTTTTTCTCCATAATTTTAATTGAATTGCTCTTTGGGCAATCACAAAAATGTGATTTTTTTTACACGATATACCAATAATTATGATTTGAAAAAAAAAAAAAGATAACTAAATATTTTATTTCAGTTTGTCAACAGTTACAACTGATAGGAGGAAGATCGGAGGCCTTAGCATAAGCCATCAATGGCGATTTCTTAAAAACCCTACTACCAAAAACTAAGAACCCTAACGTGTGGCCGGCGATTGCCACCAGAAAAATGCCGGCGTTGAAGGACATAACAGCTAACATGACCAAATAAGCCAACCCAATCCTGACGCCGTACAAAGCGGTCTGAATTAACCCAGAAGCCACATGATTAGCACTCTCTTTGATGTAATTGGTGTGTGAGATCCACTCTACGAAAAAGGCAAGTAGAAAAACGAAGAGAAGTGCCAAAACATACATGCCCATATTGTTATACCCAGGCCAACCGGAAAACAGAACCTCCGCGTTTTTTCCCCAGAAAAACGTCATGTGCATCATCATATGGTGCTGGCTGTGGCTGTTCACGGCGGTTGAGTTTATTGATGGCGGTGGCGCCGCCATACCCATAGCGTCACTCATCCCTGCAATTTGATTTTTTTTTCTCTCTCTCTCTTGTGGAAATTAGCAGAGAGTGAAGTGTGTGGTTTATACGTCTTTAGATAAGGCTTTTAGGGGTTGTTTGGTTCGCGAACAAGATTATTTTGGGAATTATGGGATTAATAGTCTCTTGGACTATTTAATATTATTGCTTTGTTTGGTTTATAAATTAAAACTGGGATATACTGTATAAATTCAAAACATGTGTAGTCTGAACGTGAATAAGCTTGGATAAAATTTGTTTCTTATTTTAATCTTGGTTCAAAATATAAAAAGTTTGTAGTGAAAAATTGAAAGAAGAATATTTTTGTCATTTTATAACTTTATTCGAGGATAACTAATCTTTATACTTGTATTGAGAAAAATTGAGTTTATATATATTGAAGTGATTGAAAGATGACATGTCATGACACGTAGACTGGTCAAAGAATGATGATCAGCAAAGAATACTTAAAGAGGCACGAGTTACAACAGACACGAGCAGAGATTCAAAAGACTCGGTACTCGTACCTATTTACGTTCAAAAGTCAAAGAGAATGAACTTAATAACAAAAGAGGGTATGGATACAGTATTTAATAGGCATTAATTACTGAAAACATTAGAGAATCTGTATTGAACTATAATGATTACCATTTATAACGTAGCATTAAATGCTTTTAATTGCCTATAATGGCTTTATTATGACAAAGGCAAAACGTATCTCCTAGAAATAGCTATAAAAGGGGAAACCTGATCATTTGTAAGGACACGAAATACTACTGGAATATACTGATTTACTTCGCTTTCTATTCAGCTTTTATTTACATCCATTATTCATATTTCTATTTGATTATCAGTAACCCGAGTTCTTCTAAAATAAGCTTTGGCCGAAATCCCACTTTTTGGTTAAACAAATTGGTTCCATTACTGGAAATCTGATAATCGTTTTGCTTTCTTAAGTCAATTATCTCATCAAACAACTTACTATGTCGAATATCAACGACAATAGTCAACAAGGTCTTCAACATCAAGAAAATAATGCAGGTGACAGGACTCCACCTCCTTCACCACATGATTCACAACGTCAATCACGAGAAGGAACTCCAGATGGCTCTGAGACAAACAATGGAGTTGCAAATCAAAACGGAGTCGAGGCGATTCAAAATGCTGGAGTTGTAAATGAGCAAGCACTTGATGATGCCTTAAAAAATCTGATTGCTCAGCAAGTCAGTAATGCTCTCCGTGCTTTTACTAGCCAGTTGCCAGTTGCGCCACCAACACCAACTCCGAATCAGAATACATTGGAAAACCCACGTTCTGGGATCGTGCATTCAGGCACTGGTGGAACTCCAAGCGAGTCTCGTGATGGCGAACCAGTAACATAGTTAATTTTGATTTACAAATTTTAGTTCTAACCCTGCAGAAGCAGCTCAAGGAACAAAGCGATCGCATAGAGCAAATACCTGGAGTACCACCTGTAATCAAAGAAATAGACATGGACAAATACTCACAACAACCATGGAAGCCTAGTGCTGCTCCGGTGCCTCTTCCAAAGAAGTTTAGAATGCTTGATATTCTAAAATATGATGGCACAACTGATCCACGAGATCACGTGACTGCATTCACAACTGGCGTGAAAGGCAACGACTTAACCAAACAAGAAATCGAATCAGTATTGGTCAAGAAATTTGGTGAAACACTCACCAAGGGAGCATTGACATGGTATTTTCTCTTACCCGAAAATTCTATAAATTTTTTTGCTGAGCTTGCAGATTCATTCATCAAAGCGCATTCGGGAGCTCAAAAAGTCGAGAAAAGAATGGAAGATATTTTCAAAATCAAGCAAGGAGACTCAGAGTTGCTTAGAGAGTTCGTGGATAGATTCTAGCGTGAAAGAATGACGCTACCACGAGTACCGGACAACTGGGCAGCTATAGCCTTTACCAGTAATTTGAATGAGAAAAGCTCAGAAGCCGCGAGGCGACTCAAGGAAAGTCTTCGTGAATTCCCAGAAACAACTTGGAATGACGTTTACAACAGATACAGCACAAAGCTAAGGATAGAAGAAGATATTATCTCGTAGTCTCAAAAAGAGGAAAAGGTAAGTTCGAGACGTGCAGAAACCTAAAAAAGGTCCGGTAAAAACAGATACGAACCATATATGGGCCCAGCGGGAAAAGATTCACGATCAAAGCAGGACAATTCAAGGTATGATCATAGATCGAGGAATAGAGAGTCGGGTTCACCCTCAAGGTTTGGGAACGATCGAAACATGTGAGAGACGCGAGACGATGATAGAAACTTGAAGGCAAGATTTGGCGGTTACAATTTTAATGTTAGCACTTCCGAGCTCGTAGCTGTTTTAAGAAGCATGGGTGATAAGGTGCGGTGGCCAAAAGAAATGAGATCAAATCCAAACAGGCGCAATCCTGACCACTAGTGCGAATTTCACAACGATCATGGACATAAAACAGCAGATTGTAGATTACTACAAGGGGAAGTCGACCATCTATTGAAGCAAGGATATCTTACTGAATTATTTAGTGAAAAAGATAAGCAAGCATACATGAAGAACATGCAAGAACCCCCTAAACCTCCTTCTCTGAAAAGGACTGTTAATGTTATAAACGGAGGCGAGGAAATCAATGGCGTAACATATACGACAGCCAATAAAGTTTCTAAAGTTACAGTTATCCACGGGAAGCGGGATCGACACGCTTTGAAGGAAGAAAGTATTATATTCGATGATATGGGTGCGAACAGCGTATTAACTCCACACAACGATGCACTGGTAATTTCTCTACTTGTACATGATACTAATGTGAAACGAGTTTTGATTGATCCAGGTAGTTCCGTGAACATTATTTTGCTAAGAGTACTAAGTGAGATGCAAGCAGAAGATAAACTGGTACCTAAGGCACATACCCTATCCGGCTTCGATAATTCGAGCGTTGTGACAAAAGGAGAGGTAACACTTACAACATTCGCAGAAGGAGTGGTAAAAGATACAAAGTTTCAGGTGGTAGAGATGGAAATGACTTACAATATGATTCTCGGAAGACCATGGATTCACGAGATGGATGTTGTTCCATCTACCTTGCATCAAGTTATGAAATTTCCATCACCATGGGGAATACGTCAAACTCGTGGGGACAGACTTCCAGAAGCATCAATTCTGTAGCAGATTCAAGTACGAAAAACGAAGAAAAGTAGCAATTACAGAGTCCAGTTGAGGATATCACGACACAAACCTCAACTGAACAAGGGCGAACAGATGTGGACTCAAGGCCCGATTCCATTCAAGAGCCAGAAGAAAATGAAAATATCAAAACAACGATTGAAGAACTAGAGGCTGTAGAGTTGTTTGCATAATGGCCTGAAAGGAAAGTTTATATTGGGGCCAACTTAAGCCGCGACATGAAAGGTAAGTTGATTGAATTTTTAAAAAACTAACATAGATTGTTTTGCCTGGTCCCATTCTGATATGACAGGAATACCCCCCGAAGTAATGACTCACAAGTTAAATGAAGACCCATCGTATCCACCTGTCAAACAGAAAAAGAGAAAGCAGGGGGACTTTCAAAAACTAGGTGATTCAAGATGAGGTTCAAAAACTATTAAAAATTGGGTCTATCCGCGAGGTAAAGTATCCTAATTGGTTAGCCAACATCGTAGTAGTACCGAAAAAGAATGGCAAATGACGAGTTTGTGTAGATTACACCGACCTTAATAAAGCATGTCCTAAAGATTTTTTTCCATTACCACATATAGATCAACTGATTGATGCTACTGCAGGACATGAATTGTTAAGCTTTTTAGACGCATATTCAGGGTACAATCAAATCAAAATGGATCCCCCAGATGAAGAAAAAACTTCATTTATAACAGACATGGGGACTTAATGTTATAAAGTAATGCCTTTTGGTCTCAAAAACGCTGGTGCCACGTATCAAATATTGGTGACCAAAATATTTCAAGAGCATTTAGGAAAAACTATGGAAGTCTATATAGATGATATGCTTGTCAAATCTCAACAATCAAGAGATCATATATCACATTTGACTGATACATTTCAGATCTTACGAAAATTCAATTTGAAGCTAAATCCCGAGAAATGTGCATTCGGCATCTCATCAAGTAAGTTTTTGGGTTTTCTTGTTTCTAACCGTGGTATTGAAGTAAATCTCATGCAGATTAAAGCCATTGAAGAAATTCCTAACATGCTTACAAATAAGAAGGAGGTGCAAAGACTAACGGGGAGAATTGCAGCCTTGGGAAGATTTATTTCCAAGTCATCAGAAAAATGTTTTAAGTTCTTTTCAGCTCTTAAAAAGCAAGACCAGTTCGAATGGTCCGAAGAGTGTCAACAAGCGCTCAAAAACCTGAAGGCATACCTGTCAAATCCACCGTTGCTCGCAAAATCGAAGGACAGGGAAAGGTTACTTATTTATTTAGACGTTTCAGAAGTAGCGGTGAGTGCCATTTTAGTTCGTGAAGACCAAGGTAAAGAATCCCCAATTTATTATGTTAGCAAATCATTATTAGATGCGGAGACGCGATATCCTCAATTAGTAAAACTTGCACTTGCACTAATCATGGCATCTAGAAAACTAAGGCCTTATTTTCAATGCCACCCTATTTCCGTAGTAACTGCTTATCCATTGCGTAATATATTACACAAACATGAATTATCGGGTAGGTTAGCCAAGTGGGCTATAGAATTGAGTGAATACGACATCACGTATCAACCTAGAACCGCCATAAAATCTTAGGTGTTAGCGGATTTTTGGGCTGATTTTAGTCATGGGATACAATTAGAAGCTGAAAAGGAACTAAAAGTGTTTAATGGGTCTAATCCGGGAATTTGGACCTTATTTACTGATGGCTCATCTAATCTGAAGGGGGCGGGTTTAGGAATTGTTTTGGTACCACCTACGGGTGAAATCATTCGACAAGCCATAAAATGTCATCCTATAACTAACAATGAGGCAGAGTATGAAGCAGTGATTGCAGGTTTAGAACTGGCACGTGAACTTGGCATTGATCAGATTGTAATCAAAAGCGATTCACA